GAAGACTGTTGGTCACTGATTGGTTAGGAGGTGGAGTCACTGGTTGCATCACAAGAGCTACACTCACAACAACCCGGTCCACCATTTGCAATAACAACGCTACCATGTCCTCCATTGTTGTGCTGTGTATCTTTTCGAGGTCTTCTACTAAGTTTAATGTTGACTAGCAAATAGCTTAATGAACCATAACCACCACTAGCTGGTAAGGCGTTTGGCGTCAGTTTTTGGACTCTGCGACCCCCCTACTTTATGATGAACCCACCCATTAGAGCTGTTACTGAAGTGCAGTGGAAAACCACCTAAACCGTGCTGAACAGAGTTGAGCCAAGTTGAACCGTGCTGTAGAGGTGCTAGTGGAAAAGGGCAAAAGTTGCCTAAATGGTCTAATTCAGCGCTGATTACTCTGTGGGCTGATCAGGATCTGAAATTTTTCTCTTAATGGTTAACTTAAAATCATTATTTTACAATGTTACAGAAATTAGATCTCTTCATTATAACATTGACCAAACTTTGAGTCAACAGAGGCTACCACAGCTAATTAGCAAACAGAAAAATGGCTCTAACTCAGTTAGTTTTACAAATATTAAACTTAAAAAGGAGTCATCAACACATATTTTGTAGGATTCCACGACACTGCTCATTGATGATGTTCGACCAAAACGCTTTCATGTGGATCTCTAAAACTGTGACATGATGCACATTACTTCAAAGAATTCCAGGGTTTTATTTACCAAGTCATTTTATGCTCATGTCAGTTCATTTTCGATCATCTTAGGGGTCCTTTTGTTTTAATTGCACAATCTCAACATTATTTACGTCTTGTGTGCATTTCTGGCTGAAGACTTGGCATCACAGAACCTTGAACAGCTGATTTTCTGTGTTCAATAAATAAAATTTCATCCAAATTTTAAATAGAAATTTTAGTGATTCCTTCTGAATTGGCATATTAGTCCTCATCCACCACAGTCAACTAAACAAGCCATGAAAAGCAGCGACTTTATGATGTTTCGCAGTGAGGAAGCTTCACTTTGGCCTGCAGCAACATGATATAAAATGTACATTTTGGCAGCTCACTGAGACACGATGTGCTTTTTTAGCATGTATAGAAGCATCCCGGTTGCATGTGAGCTTTTGAGATCAGATAAGTGAGACTGAAGGTTTGGGAACAGGGTGTTGGTGGAGCGAGGGGGGTGGGGGTCGTAGCTGGGAGCGATTACAGAGAGCAGGTATTCTCAGCTTTCTGCTTCTCTTCTTTCTCTGGCAAACATGAAAGCATGTCATCTCATGTGCTGAAAGCTTTTCATGTTCACCTGTGATGCAGGGGGGGAGAGCGGTGATGTGCGAGACGGGGGAAAGTATTCAGGGCTTCTTGTCTTATTTACGAGGTCAGCAGGGCTGCAAGAATGTGAGGGTTTGTTACAGAGTCTGACCTCCTTAGGGAAGACAAGGCAGACCCGTCTGCAGCACAGGCACACACACATTCTCCCCTTTTTTTGCACTTCAAACACACACACCCATCCATGCCCTTTTTAGATAAACACATAGTCAGCTCTCCGTCCGTCTGCTAGGAAGGAAGTGCCGTTGCTCTGATGGATGTTGGTACTTTCGGCTAGACACCCCCTCCCCTTCGCTGTTTCCCTCTCCGCCTTTCTACTTCTATCAATGCCCATTGTGCCTGTTTACCAGATTACAGTCCTCGGCTCTTTGATGGAATTAGGCCCGTTAAAGCTGGGCTTTACTTTATTTTGCAGCCTGAAACAGGAAGAAAGATATTCAGTGTCCCACAGTGAACTCACCACCTCAGGCTGCGCAGAGCCTGAAATCTGTTGCATTTTTTAATGGCAGGTGTGAAACCTTTTCATCTCCAATAAGCGCTTTGAACACAGCAGATTCGTTTGCTCTCAGATCTTTTCAGCCCCCCCCCCCCCCC